CCACACCCCCCCCCACACCACACACACACCACACACCCACACACACTCACACACCACACACACACAGAGCATCGGTTTCTATATTGGAATGAATAGACATTTACACTTACAACAAAGTACCAAACAAACAATTATTACACCAGATGTTATCCCTCTGGCAGCTGCTATCAAAACCCAATTAGTCATATGACAAGAGGAAAGATTCTGCATACCCTTCTCCTGCTTCTTACACAGTCATTAGCAGGTCCGTCCTGGCTCCCATCTGGGATGCAGCAGCAATCTTTAGAGCTACTTGATCTACCCTCAAGATCACTAGTGGCCACCTCCTGTGGTCAATAGCCCCCTCTCAGCACATACCAGGGTACCCTTTTCCCCATGGAGACTTTGCCGTACACCAGACATCTCTGCTCGAATTACCGGTGGCTCCAGCCAAGCGTTAGGACTTACTGGTCTTTCCTTTTTCAGTAAAACATATCATTTAGTTCCACAATTATTATAGATGGTCGTTATCTGCCACAGCAGTGAGCAGCTGAGGGCAAAGTTCCTCCGAGAGCTCAGCTCGGGGCGCCTAGGACGTTCGCTCCTCAATCAGTCCTGCCGTCAAGCAAGACCTCATCCCATCCGTGGTGCCAAACTGACACGTGGAAAAAGACTCTATAACGCAGGAGGTTATACAGTAGGCATGCTTTAATCAGCGCTGGGTGCATGGGGGGATATTAAAAACGTGCACACCTGAACGATGCAGTTACCTTGGTTATATGCAGTGAAAGTTAGGTATTCATTAGATGCCTATACACATTCATGAGCTATCCCAAAAAAGGCACTCGGTTCCAGTGGTTGGCTGCCCTCCTCTTGATGCTTGCGCAGGGCCTCCTGGTGGTCTTGGGCAGGGGTCTTCAGGGATGAAGGCCGTAGGGCTTCCTCATGATGAACTTTTTACCTTAGTCCCCAAACTAGTTGTTCTCAGCACATTTTGTAAGGTATCTTCCCCTCCAATTCCACAAGGTGCTTCATCACCAGATGGTCCTTGTTAGACACCCTTATCACTAGTGTTCTTGTCAATTACTTTTGGTTTATGTTCTTTTACACAGCTTCCATCCTGTAGGCCTTTGGCTAATTGCTGCGTAACGACCTTGAGAGGTTGTTTCTTCTCCTATCAATTCTCCTTCACAGCTCTCGGGATGCTACTCCCCCCATCACCTGAGCCTTTTGCTTTAAAATTCTGCACTTTGCTGCTAGGTTTTTTCAACCCCTCTCTGCTTATAAATCCTCCATAATTTAGGGGTTAGAACATCATCAATCTTGTCATGAGACATACCATCTCTTAAGAAACCTGTGAGCATTTTCTTCTGAGAAGTCCTCTGCTACTTTTAGGATTGTTTTGGCTATCGCAGTTTCCTGCACTTCCTCGGGTGGCCCACTCTCCAAGGTCACCTAGCTGCTGTATCTTTCTTCCAATTACCTCATCTAGGGGATTCCTTGTCTCATTAATCATGAGAATCCTCATCACATTTTTAGATGCTGGTGGAGCAGTCTTAATCGATTTATTTCTCAGAGCAACCGACAAAGCACTCCACACCACGATACCAGCATCTCCTATGAACGTAGCCAGTTCCATCCCTTCTTCTGTCAATCCTTTCTTCCGTGGTACAATCTCACAGTGTGTACCACCGACGTTAGCACCCTGGCCAGTCATTTTTCCATTCATTATCACATCCCCGAGGGGCCAAGGCTAACTAGTATCTTGAGCATTATTTCAAAATACGTCTCACCCAAAGGAATCCCAACTCAAAATCAAGAACTTCTGAGCGTCACCCGCCCCCAGAGTAACCCCTGACACTCCCTGCTCATGCAAACGCAGCCTCCAGGGAAGGAGAGGAGAGAGCGGAACCTTCGCCCGTAGGGCTGTCAATTCAGTCACCACCCGGGGGGTCTAAACTTCTGAACTTTCAGAAGGAGGCTTCATAGGTTATTAACTATTCATAGCCAGTGGTTATTCACCAACCTGTGGTTATTCACAAATTCATATTATTAACATAACATTAACTTCTTCCCCCTGGGCCGCAGGAACTCAGGGTTAATGACAAGCGCGAAGCACCTCGCTAGGGGCGGTGCATGGAACTGGGAACTGTAACAGGCTGGGGGGGAGGTCTCCACCTCCTGAGTGCCTCGGCCAGCGGGGCCCCAGCTCC